TCAACATTGTTGCCCAGCAAGTGGAAGCTGAAACCCAAATTAAAGCACTGAAGCAAGCTGACAGGCCCGCAAAAGAATTAATATCGGAGTTTCGGAGGCTGGCCAGGAAATTGCAAGATTGGCCAGAGTGCCTAATGGTGCACACCTTCAAAGAGGCCCTGGACCCAGACCTCAGGCAAGCCTGCAGCATTAGAGGAGTACCGGACTGGATACAGTCGTGGTACAACGCTGCCATCATTCTGGACTTGGAGTTTCACCCTCACAGGAAACCAGCTATGGATAAACCAGCCAGGAGACCGTTTGGACGCCAGACCCAGACGAAGAAGCTCGAGGAGCCCCCTCCCACACCATCTGACACTGTCAAATGCTACCAGTGTGGTCAGCACAGGCACTGGGCCTTGGAATGCCTGGCTCCAACTCCCATTCCCCAAACCAGGTCTCCTGCCTGAGCCCAAGCAAAGAAAACCCTGTAGAAACTGCTGGACAAAGGATGGAGCATCAAACAGGCTGCAGAAGTCCCACTCCTTCCCAATGAAGCAGAAGGAACTTTGGCCAATGAATCTCCTCCAGTCTCTGTGGGGGAGAGCAGTGGCAACGATGACCCAATAGTAAATGGAGCCATCCGCCCCTTTGCCCTCAAAATTAAGTTGGCAGTCCCAGAGACGGTGGTCCAAGGGGAAGTAGAAGCCATCATAGACACTGATTGCACCGGTTGATGTCTAATCAGTCTCCCCATAGTTGAGCAGTTGGGCATACACATGAGGCCCCTTTTATACCCCATCAGCTTTGAACACATGGGACACTAATTGGTGGGGCCCCTGCCACCTTGGCCACGGAGCTCATCTGACTAGAGATGGGGCACCATCAAGAACTCCTCTGGTTTGTGGTTGCCCCAAAGATGACTGACTCAGTCATATTGGGACTCTCATGGCTCAATAAGTGGGGGCCCACAATCTCCTAGGATGGCAGCTGTAGGAAGCTAATCATTGGCTTTGGGCCATTGCCACCTGTAAGGCAGGACCACCTCCTAGAAGCCACCAACCCAGAGGAGGCTATCGCACCAGAAACTGCAGCCCTGGGCCGAGATGCCCTACCTGGCAGCCAGCAAGTGCCAAATGAGTACTGAGACTTATCGGGATTTTAGCAAAGAGGATTGTAACTTTCTCCCCCCTCACCGTTCGACCGACTGTGCAATAGAGTTTGTGCCAGGGGCTAAATTACCCAATTTAAAAATGTACTCCATGACTCCGAAAGAGATGAAGGAATTGAGGAAGTACATAGATGCCAATCTAGAGCGAGGCTTCATCCAGCCCGCGAAATCCAAAGTGGCGGCCCTGGTGCTCTTTAAAGAGAAGGAAGATTGGGGGGGGGATCAAGCTTTGCATTGATTTCCATGGGATCAATGCTGTGTGTGTAGAAAACACCTCTCCCCCTTTAGCATGAAAGACATGCTAAACCACTAGTTGAAGGGTAAGGTGTTCACCAAATTGGACTTAAGGGATGCATACTATCGTATAAGAATCAGAGAGGGAGATGAATGGAAAACTGCTTTCAACTGCCCACTCAGCAGCTTCCAATTTAAAGTCATACGATTCAGACTACAAGGGCCCCCTGCCGTGTTCATGCAACTCATTAATGAAGTGCTACATGAGCACCTGTGCCAGGGGGTCCTCGTTTACTTAGATGACATCCTCATATTTGGCGAGACCCTTTTTTTAAAAAAAGCTTTTTATTAATAATACAATTAAAAACATTGGACATGATGTAACGTTTCCGGTTACTTCTTCCTCTGAGGGGGTTTCTTTATTTTTCCAGTTTTGTGCAAAGGCCAATCTTGCTCCCCTTAGAATATGTAACATTAAGTATATTGTTTCCTTATTGTATTTATCTATTGTAATACCTAGTAAGAAAAGTTCTGGCTTTAATTCTATATTTTGCATTAGCATTTCCTCCAGCCATTGCTTTATCCGGTGCCAAAATCTCTGGTTTTCGGGCATTCCCACCAGATATGATAAAAGGTCCCTAACACTACCTCACATTTCCAACACATTCTACATTCTACCTTTGAGTCTTCAGGCTTCAGGCCTGCAACACGTTCTACTGTGGGAAAATGGGAGGGGGGATTGTATAGAGTGAAGAGGATATGTAGTCAAAATAAAATTCTTTCTAGAAAGTCAAGGGTGTTGTGACTTGCAGCTGTGCTGAGAAGAATGAGGTATTGTCTGTTAAGCAGGGTACTTGATTAGTTCATGTGGTGGACATGTGGGTGAAGGGCAAGGACTTGAACTTTCTTTTGGGTAAGGAAAACCCGGAAGCCTTCAGATTCGGGTTTTCCCAGATGTGCCAATATGACATCTCTAATAAAAATTAGTTTTGAGGAATGTCAAGCCTTAGAGTTTGATTTCGTTGGGGTATTACTTGGAACCCTGACACCTCTCCCTCAACCAGTCCATTGTTTGGCCTCCAAACATGGTGGAGTAGCTCCATTCCCCCTATTTGTCCTCTGACTGGTGCCTCCTGCCACTTCGATGACTGGCTGCCATATAGGGACAGGGTGGGCATTGATCTCCCAGTACCTGTGGTCATCGACAAACGCTGCCACCACTCCTGCGCCAGAGCCACCCTCTGACTTGCTTCTCCTGCCAATGTCAAAGGCTCTTGGCTGAGTTGATCCACTCCTTTGGACGCATGCCCAAGGCAGGGGGGGTCGACTGGCACTGCCAAGGCCTCCAAGACAGGCTCTTCCAGCACTGCAGCCTCTGCTCCTGCTCCAGCCTCTGACTCCTCATCCATCTCCCTCAGTGAGCCCTCTCAGGGCAGAGATATTAGCTGAGGTAATGAGAATGCAAGGAATGCAGGGAGCACAAACTTCTTGTCATGTTAGGTGTCCCACGTAAGAAAAGCCAGCAACACAAGTTAATGTTAGATTGTATATCTGGAAACGCAGACCCAGCATGAAGCAACCATCCAAAAGGAATCAAAGTTTGTGCTATTGTGGTTAGCTTACCCACCTCCTTATATTGTGACCTCTCCTGTATGTATACCCCACCCCTCCCACGACCACTTAGACAGCCTCCACAGTCCCGCCATGCCCCTAGCCGCCCATCCTGGCTTATCCTGCTCGGTTTCCTGCTGTCACCCACGCTCTGATGATCAGCTGTTTTCCCAATCCAACAAACAGCTGTTTTTCACTGAGCTGGGTACAGCCAGGGTTCCGCTACCGAGTCGGCAGCTCCGTGGATGCAGGAGCGGTCAGCCAGTCAAAGTCCGGGGCTCCCTAGCCAGGCGGCAGCCAGTGGACAATGGAGCAAAGCGATGCAGGTCTCTCGGGTGGCAGCTCCACGGCGGCCTAGCCGTTGCGGGCTGTATGCATGCATCCACTCCTCCCCAGCCCGAATAGTGGCCCTGGCCCATCTGGCAGTCCGAGGCTGACAGGAAGATTGGCATTTGGGTGGGGAAGTGAGCTGGAGTGAAGATGGCCTGTGTGAACAAAAAGAGAGGGATGCTCTCATGATCTACTGCGCAGCTGAATGCAGTTGTTTATACACAACTGTCAACTGTCCCAGAATACCAGATGGACGAAAACATCTGAAGATGTGTCCCACATGACACCATATGGGATAGGGATTGGACATTCAGCCTGGGTCCTTGGGGGGAGGGATTTGGGGAAACTTTCAATTACCTTTCAACTTTCGCACCTTTTGGCTCAGATCTTGCTTTTCTTTTGTTGCTATCATTTCAAACTCAGTAAAAGTACCTCTTCTCTACAAACATGGAGTTGGGGGTTTCTTTCTTGGGTTCTGAATGGAGGCACGCCTGACTTTCTTGGAAATATCAGCCAAATCAACAGGTATGTAGAGATAAACAACATTCACACACCATGAAAAAGACCATGAAAAAGCTAAAGAGAAAACAAAAGATGAGAACAACACCTTACCAGCAATCAATGCCCAGATAAATGGGGATTGGACCAGGATTAAACCAGGGGTGAAATCTGAATTTTTTCCCTACCGGTTCTGTGGGCGTGACTTGGTGAGGGGTGTCCTGTGACTGAGTGAACGTGGCCAACTCGATGTCACTCACAGCCACACCCACTCAGTCACAAGACCCCCTCCCACCAAGCCATGCCCACAGAACCCAGTAGGAAAACTTTTTAAATTTCTATTCTGCCGGCATGTCCTTACCTTTCTCCCACAGCTCCGCCCACCCGCCCCATTCCCTGGAGTCTGTCCTTGCTGCGGAGCCGCTGCCTGCTCGCCCTTTGCCATGCGGCTCCGCCCACCTGCCCCATTCCCCAGACACCCAACCTGCCGCTGATGAGTGAATTAAATAAACGGTGTGCACTTGCGCAGCCGGCGTGTGGACCAGAGCGGTTCATTCAAGAAGGAGAGTGAGTGACTCCGGTAACTTTTGGCTGCTTGCCTTCCCTGACAGCCAGCCACGGGAGAAAGGTGAGCAGAAGGATACACCGCATGGCGAAGGGCGAGCAGGCAGCGGCTCCGTGGCAAGGCCGGAGTCGGGGAATTGGGCAGGTGGGCGGAGCCTCCAGCTGCCATTGCTACTGGTTCTCCGAACCACCAGCCATCATCACTACCTACTCACCCGAGCCGGTCCGAACCGGGAGCATTTCACCCCTGGATTAAACCATTACTTTTAGTTTTATATTGTATTTTGCTTTTTTATGCATTACCAGTGGAGGGATGCTCCCGGTTCTGTCCAGTTTTATAGAATTGGTAGTAAAACCGGTGGGAGGCTCCGCCGACCCAGCACGACATCATAATTGGTGATCTGCGCATGTCTGCGCATCATCCCGCTGTGAACTGGTAGTAAAGATAAGTGGAACCCACTCCTGATTGTTACCTTCTAAGATTCATCATTTTAAAATGGGTAACCATGTGATTAAATACATTAATAACACATAGCCAAGATGTAAATGACTGGTGGCAAAAGAATCCAGATGTGTTTGTGTTTGTGAACTTCTGTATCTTCCATTCCCCCAGGGAAGACTAGTGCTGCTGTAGTCCTGGCCAAACACTACAGTGCAGCTTGCTTGTCCATTGACTCGGTGGTCCTGGAAGCCATCTCAGATGGGAGCAGTTCAGCAGGGCTTCGTGCACGTGAACTCTGCATCCAAGCTGCTATTGAGCAGGCCCAGCGAGAGAACGAGGATGGTGGTAAGCAAGTCAATGAGTTCTGGGGAGTCCAGCATTACCGCATGTTTCCAAAGAAGCCTTGCTTTCCTCCCCTCTAACCTCTTCTTGGTCCAAATTTAATACTTCTCTGGGTCACTTTGTCTGTGGTTTTGGCTTCTCTCAATAAGCTTGTCAATTTTCAGAATCAACTTTTGCTAGACTCTTGAATTCTAGAGATGTGTTCCAGTTTCCTTAGGTGCAATCCTTTCCTCCAGTTTGAAATTCCAAATAAAGTGGGAAAATAGAGAAGCTGCAAAATACAGCTGTTCCAGAGTTCAGATAATTATGTACTGAAAATGGCTCTCCTAAAAACTGATCTAATGATCACAGCAGAAAGAAAAGCCAGTGGGGGGAATGGCTCTTTGTAAATCTCTTCCTCCAGGCAAGGAGAAGACTTGAGATCAACCACAAGTGCTCCATACAGTTGCTCCTCACAAGGAGACTGCAAGACAGCAGTTTCTTAGAGCTCTGGGAGATGAGGAAATAGCTGTCTTGCTCAAGCCACAGTCTGCTCCTTCAAAGGACTCTGGGTCTACATGCTCCGTTTTCTTTTCTTTTTTTTTAATTTTATTTATTTCTTTACAACAAAATATTTATTCACACACAGATCGCGACGGGAGCTTTACAGAATATATTAACTTCAGTCAAGATATACAAATAAAAAATAAAATCTACACTAACCTTATCCTTTTTTTTATTCTATTATTCAACCAAGTATACCATTGGTCCCAACATTGAAATATACGGAGTCCTTTTGATCTCTCAAAATTTTTGTTAACCTGTCAGCTTCCGCATATTCGATAATTTTTCCCAGAATCAAATCTTCAGCCGTTAGGTCTTTCCCCTTCCAATGTTGAGCAAAACATATTCCTGCTACGGTTGTGATATATGTAATCAGACACCATATATTCGTGCCTATCTTATCTGGCCTAATATTTAATAGATAATATTCTGGTTTCAATTGTAATTTATATCCCGTGATTTCTAATATCCACCTCTGTATAAATCTCCAAAATTCGATTGCCTTAGGGCAGGTCCACCATACATGATAATAAGTACCTATCTCCCCACACTTCCAACAATTTGGGGAGAGTCCTGGAAACATTTTGGCTAATCGAGCAGGAGGGAGATGCCATCTATACACCATGTTATACAAGTTTTCTTTGTAAGTGGTTGCCATCAGAAATTTCAATTGTTTCGTCCAAATTTCTTCCCATTTTATCAATTCAATCGAGTAACCAATATTTCTCCCCCAGGCAATCATTGAGTCTTTAACAATCTCATCCCCTATCCAATAAGTTACTAAGAATTTATAGATCTTAGATAATATTCTTTCCTCCTTTCCTAATATAATACTTCCTATTTCTTGCTGGGTCATGTCTATACCACTTTTTTCCTTGTCTTTCTTATATTTAGAGCTGATCTGGGCATAGGACCACCAATCCAATTTTATTCTTCTTCTTTTTTTTTTGAAAAGAAGTTTTTATTATTATTTTTTAAATCAAACAAATAACATTTTCACTTGTCTATTTAAACATTTATAAACCCAACCTTCCACCCCCCCTTCGCACCCCCCTCCCCCAACTTCCCAGAAGAAAAACAGGGTATAAATTTTACCAAACATAAGCTAAAATATGCTAAATTAATGCAAGACTTAAAACTCCCTAGACCCCTTAACTCCCCTTCTACAGATTATTCATCAACCTCCCTTTAAACTCAAAATAACGTATAATCCTTTAAGCCTAAAAATTTTAAAAACATCGTAATACATCTTTAAAATATTCTTAGTTCATTTACTTAATCATTTTACTCCCTCCTACTTTTACTCTCAAAGTTCAAATATTTTTTCTTAAACCTTAATTAATCATTAATTGAGTTCTTAATTCATTTACTTAATCATTGTAATTAGTCATCAATTATTAGACCAAAAAAAAAAATTAATCTTCCATTCTTCCTTTCTTTCTATATTTTTTCCAATCTTCCTTCCTCCCTCTTACTTTCAAATCCAGCAGCTTAAGTCCAGTCTCTAAGCACAAATCTATTAACAAGCACTTAGCTTTCACTTTTCCAGCCACAATGAAGACGCCATTTCCTCCTCCAGCTCAGCAAAATCAAATAGAAACACTGTATCCTAGGAGTTAAGCAACATACTTGCAAAGGCTTGTTCGCCTGCCTCCGTTCTGTCTGCTTTTTGGAATCAATTAATCTCCTTGTTGAGAGCAGAGTCGGTCGCCAGCGTCTGGCTCCATTTAAAACGGAGTCGCCACGGATCTGGAGCTTCAGTGGGCTGAACGGGGAGCTCTCACCCTCCAAGCCCCTGGAATTGCTCCAGGGGCTCCCGGGGAGCTCTACCCTCGCCCACCGGCTCTTCTCTCCTTCTTCTCCCGAAGGAGAGATTTTTGAGCCGTTTGACAGCTGATTAGCGCTGTCAGAACAGCTCCAATGGAATTGCGGGGCTGGTGGTCCGAAAAGACCGTCCGCGACGCCGGTGGTGCCAACCGGAAGCCTCCATCCAGTTTTATTCTTGAAGCTCTAACTCAGTTCTTGTTTTTAAGCAGCCTTGGGCATACAACAGTTCCCGATAGGTTAGGTGTTTTTCTCTATTATAAAGCGAACTATATGTTGTAGCTTCTAACGGGACCAACCAAGAAGGAGTTGAAAAGTAGTGTTTACCGTTAACTTTCCTCCATGTATCAATTAGAGTATTCCTTACATAATGTCCTGCAAAACTCATATGTTTTTTAACCTTATCTTGCCAAAGAAAATAGTGCCAACCCTGTTGTAACCCCGAATCTTCCAGAATCAACAACCATCTTCTTCTCAGCAGGATCCATTCCCTTACCCAAATTAAATTTGCAGCCTGATAATAATATTCCCATTTTGGTAAGCCAAATCCCCCTCTTTCTTTCACCTCTTGAAGCATTTTAAGTTTAATTCTGGGCTTTTTATTTTGCCAGATAAATTTAAGAACACATTGATTTAACTTTTTGAAAAAAAGACTATTGTCTAGTCTAGCTGGTGCTGTATAAAATAAATATGTCCATTATAATCGCGATCCTACCTAATAAAGACGTCTGAAGGTTCTTCCATTTCTCTAAATCCTGTTCTGTTCGTTGGAGTAATTTCAAATAATTATCTTCTTTAATTGTTGTGCATTTGGCTGATAATATAATACCTAGATATCGTAATTTATTGACAATTTGGAATCCCAAATTCGCTTCTAATTCCTTCCCCTGCTTTATTGACAAATTTTTAATAATAACCTTAGTTTTTTCCTTGTTTACTTTTAAACCTGCTACATTTCCATATTTTCCTAATTCATTAATCAAATTCGGACCCGATAAAATGGGGTCTTCCAATATAAATACTAGGTCACCAGCGTATGCTTGTACCTTATATTGTTGGTTTTTAATATGCAATCCTTTTATCCCCGAATTACGCCTAATTTCCCTTAATAAAGGTTCTAATGTTAAAATAAATAGCAACGGAGAAAGCGGGCACCCCTGTCTAGTTCCTTTCTCAATGCAGATTTGTTCAGAAACATCTCCATTAATTAGAATTTTAGCAGACTGCTTCGAATAAATTGAACGAATTGCCTGAATAAACCTTTCCCCAAATTGCATATGTTGTAATAAACCCACTAAAAAACTCCAACTCACTCGATCAAAGGCCTTTTGCGCATCCACAAAGACCAAAGCCAATTGTTTATCAATATGGGTTTCATAATGTTCCAAGATGTTCAAAATTATTCTCACGTTATCTCTAATCTGCCTACAAGGTAGGAAACCATTTTGATCTTCATGTATAAATTGACTTAGGAAACCTTTTAGCCTTTCTGCTAGCACTGCTGCAAATAATTTGTAATCTGCATTAAGAAGCAAAACAGGTCTATAATTCTGGATCAGGGATAAGTCACTGCTTTCCTTCGGCAAGAGGGTTATTAATGCTTCTGACCAGGAATTTGGAATCTGTCCCTCCCAGATTACCCCATTAAATAGTTCTGTCATATAAGGGCTTAAGACTTCCCAAAGTGCCTTGTAATATTCTATTGGGAGGTCATCTGTACCGGGAGTCTTTCCTGTTTTTTGTTTTCCCATAACCCTTTCAATTTCCCCTTCGGTTATCTCCCTGTCCAGTATTTCCCTAGACATGTCCGATATTTTGGGTAGATCAGAGTCTTCTAAATATTTTTTTATTTCCTGCTCAGACTTATCCTCTTTTCTATATAGATCGGAATAAAATTCCTACGCTTTTCTTTTCTTCCTTTCTTCCCCTGTAATCCATTCACCATTCCCATCTCTCAAGTTATGAATTCTACTCCTTTCCTTTTCTTTTTTTAATTGGTATGTAAGCCATCTTCCCTGTTTATTTGCGTTTTCAAATTGCCGTTGTTTCATCCACCTAATTTTTTTTTCTAAGTCCTCTTGGTCTAATAAGTTAATTTGATGTCATACTAATTTCAAATTCATATTGAGTTCTCTATTGTTTGGGTCCTGTTACAACATAGCCTCACTTTTGGTCAAGTCTTTTAATAATTTATCTCGTTTAGCCCTCTCCTTCTTCCGTTTCCCCGCTATATAGTTTATCACTAAACCCCGAAATACTGCTTTAGCTGTTTCCCAAACATTTAAAAAGTTCACATCTTCCTTATTATTTTCCTGAAAGAAAAAGCCCATCTCCTTCTTTAAATAACTTAAGAATTGTTCATCTTTGAGGACCCTTATATCCATTCTCCACCTGGGCCTTGTTTTCAAGCCTCCCCATGTTATCCATAATGGATTATGGTCTGCCCACTCATTGATGCCTATTTCTACTTTCTGTGTTCCCTGCCTCAGTTCCCTCAACATGCTCCGTTTTCTAATCACTGTCTGAAATTGTTAACCGATTTTTAGCTATTCGGAACTTTGGGATGAAAGTTAACAGCACCAGGTGAATCTGAAGTGGCAGATTGACAATAAAGGCAACTAAACTCAAGTATTTCAGGATGATTCTGCTAGAATGCTAAGAAAAAAGGAAAATACTTGTGCTTCTCATAGCTCAAGCAAATCAAACAGAAGATGGAAAATTCCATTTGTTGTGAAAGTCTTCTTGAAAATAAAAAATCAGAATGATTAAAAAGGCCTTTTAGATGTAAAATTAACTTTGCTGGCCTCATGGAACTTCCTAATACTAAGAAGGGTGCTAGAGATGAAAATGAAAAACCTGGTACAGCTACAGTATTAAAATAAAACCAAAATGGAAAAGACAACATTAAACTCACTAAGTGCAAATGAACTTAACTTGCCTCATAAACAAAAGCAAAATTTTAGTAAAATATTCAAAACCAATTTTCCTTGTCTACAAAAACACTTATAAAACAAAACCATGCTAATTTATTGAAACTAGACCAGGAATATATAGCATTGGGAAAGACAAAAAAAAAATGGAATAGCAATTTATCTTAAATCACTTTCTGGGGAAGTACCAGAACAAGACCCCCATAAAACATAGGAGGTACCTGGAAAATAGTAAACATATGTCATTATCACTTATTATGATAACTCCTTCCTGGTGGCCCCCTGGCTTTTGAGGGTATTTTGCATGGAACCTGCCTATTAAGCAATCTGCCGTAATATTGTTGGCCTTAATCCACCTCACCTCTGAAATTAGAAATTAGGCCTTTCCATTGCACTAAGTATTGTAGCTTTCCTTTATAATGCCTAGAAACTAAGATTCATTTTATTTCGTAGTGTTTTTCACCTCCCACTATAATTGGTTCTGGGACATCCTTTCCAATTGGCCTTAATTTAGATCCCTGGGCCAGGTTTAGCAAACTGCAATGGAACACTGGGTGCACCCTTCCCAATATTTTGGGTAGTTTCAACTCTACTGTGACCGGGTTAATAATCTTTACAATAGGAAAAAGCCCTATGTATTTGGGACCTAGTTTTCTGCAAGGCTATTTCAGCTTTAAATATTTCATGGACAGGTACATTTTATCTCCCATGTGGAATTCCCCTTCGGGAGTTAGTTTCTTATCGGCTTGCTGTTTCTGACTCTCCCTTGCTTTAGCTAGGGCCTTCTTTACATTACTCCACACACTTTGGAGAGAATCCACCAGCTCTGTTAGGGTCCTGAGGAGGTGGGGTCCTGTACCTATGGCATAGGTACAGATTCCACGCTGGTAGCTATCTTGGAAGGGGTGAGGCCAGTGCTACTATGCATAGCATTATTGTATGCCACCTCAGCAAATGGCAGTAGTTCTTCCCAATTGCTGATAGTTGACATAGCAAGGTAGGTGTCACTCCACCATGGTGTTAACTCATTCTGTGGCCCCATTCATACTTGGATGGAACGCAGAACTGAGTCCCTGTGACAACCCTATTAGCCTTATGAATTCACGCCAGAACTTTGCCATAAACTGGATTCCTCAGTTCGAGATGATGTGTTTTGGCACTCAGTGCTGTCAATAGATGTGCTGCAGGAATATCTTGGCCAGCCTCTGGGCTGATGGGAGGCTCAGGCAGTCTACAAACTGAGCTTGTTTAGAAAACAAATCAACTACAGTCCAGATTACAGTGTTTTCCCCACTTTATGGGAATTCTACTATGAAGTCCATAGCTATTTCTTCCCAAGGCCGGGTTGGCTCAGCTACTTGCTGTAATAATCCTGGAGTCTTCCCTGGTCACTGTTTCATGGAAGCACACACAGCGCAGCTTTTTACATAACTCTTGATGTCCTTTTTCATCCTTGACCACCAGAACTGCCACTTGTCAGATATATTAAGTCGAAGTGGCTGGCTTGTTTAGCATCATGGCTTCATTGTAAGTCTTGTTTTTGTAGGCTGTTGGGAATGTTTTCCCCCTCCTCCCTGATCTTCAATAGTTCTGTGATCAGCAAGGTGATTTTTGCAAAGGAGGGGATGAATTGTCTATACAAATTGGTGAAGCCCAGGAAACTTAGCAACTGTTTATGGGTCCATGGGTCTTGCCACTCTAAAATGGCTTTTACTTTTCCTGGGTCCATCTCAGGGGTGAAATGCTACTGGTTTGGGCTGTTTCGCCCGAACTGGTAGTAAAAAATGCTACTGTTTCACCGAATTGGTAGTAAAAAATGTTTTTAAAAAGTTCCGATGATCAGCTGAGCGACGCACGATTGTCGGAACTTTTTTTTTTTTAACTTTTAAGCATTTTTTTTACTACTGGTTCTGGTAATTAAAAAATGCTTAAAAACTTTTAAAAAAAAGTTCCAACAATCAGCTGAGCGACACGCGATTATCGGAACTTTTTTTTTTTTTTTTTTTTTTACTTTTTAAGCATTTTTTTACTACCGGTTCCGGAGAAACAAAGCACTTAGCTGCTCCCCCTTTTCACTCACCCTGAGCTTCCTACTGCGGATTTTCACACCTTGCTTCATATGCCTGGGATCGTCGCCCTTGTCTTCTTCTTCCTCCTCCTCCTCTCCATCTTCCAAATGGAAAAACGCCAGGAGCAAGTGCAAAAAGAAGTCCGTGCTTGCTCCTGGCGTTTTTCCATTTGCAGGAAACTTTTGTACCTGTGAAGGCAAGTCTGGCTTCCTGCGCTGCTCACTAAAAACCTCACCAGTACCGCTGTGCACATGGTGTGTGTGTGTGTGTGTCTTTGCTTCTCGTCTTTCACAGCAGCCCGTGCCCGATGTCCTGTCCCTGGCCGGCTGAACCTGAGTTGGGGAATTTACCCCTTCTGGCCTTGCCCCCAGATCATACTCTTTGGGCAGTGGGTCCGCTCGGGGGAGCTGCCTTGGGAGTTGTGTGGTGTGATGGCTGATTTCTGCTGCTCTTAAAGGCCCCGGAGCAGATCTGGGCGCTGCCATTCCGAGCCTGCCAGGGGCAACCACCGCCTCACCTGTTGCGCCGCCTGGGCAAGCCGGTCGGGGGTCTCTGGGGCAGGGCGAGGTGCCTTTAAGATGAGCAGCTGGGGATGGGACGTCAGGCATGGGCTGCTGCGAAAGACCAGGAGCAAAGACACACACACACACAGGCTTGAAATGGCAGTGCCCAGAGCCGCTTGGGGGCAGTGGGTTGCTCAGGGGAGCCGCCTTGGGGGGGTCACGCAGTGCGATGGCTGATTTCCGCTGCTCTTAAAGGCCCGATGTCCCCTCCCCGGCCACTCATCTTAAAGACGCCTGGCCCCACCCCCGCCGCCCCGGGAAGAAGAGTGGGTGCCTCAGCAAAGAACCCCTGGTTCTTTGGCAAGTTGAGAAGCAATAATGGTTGCAACAGCATAAGCATGCTTCAAACTTGACAATCCTCCTTTGGTGGAGATGTGGCATCTTCTTGAGGGGATTTTTTGATGGAGCCAGCTAAGTGTCAGGATTGTATGTTGATTCTGAGGCTTCAGCAGTTCAGAGGGTTGCTAAAGCAGAGTGGGGGCAAATTAAAAGCTTTTTTATGTGTCCCCATTTCTTAAACACTTCATTCATTTTTAAATTGAAGGGAAGATTCACAGCTAAGTATTTATGTGTAGCCAAAATCTGAAAACTCTACGTTCATCAGTTCATTTGAAGGGGATATTAGAGTCAGGTGGTTCAATCCATAGGGTGAATGTGTGTGTGTGTGTGGGGGGGTCCTTCCTTCTTTAAAGCACAAAAATATGGGTCAATAATAAAGTGATGTGGAAGTGGGTCATGGCTGCAACAGGGCATTTCTTTCAGAGGAGATTTGTTTTTTTCAGGGGAGTTGCAAAATAAGAAATAAAAACCTAATTAATACTTTTCCTGCCTGTCAACAAGGAAGAAAACCTTTTCTTGCGCTTCTCCTCCTAGCCTTGTTCCTCCCCTCCCCACTTTTCCTCCAAGGCACAGAGGGGCAGCCGGCCCTCGCTCTGGGCACCCGGCTGAGCACCGAGGCTTTGGCCAAGCACACCTCGAATGGCAGCCAGCAGAGCTCCGAGTCCAAGACAGGGGCCCTCTCCAACGTCTCCCGGGGCTACCGAGGAAGCACCGCCACGGCCAAAGGCAAGCTAGAAAGCCACCTGTCCCTGAAACAGCAGCAGCAGCAGCAGCAGCAGCAGCAGCAGCAACAGCAACAGCAACAGCAACAACAGCAGCAACAGCAGCTGGATCAGCCTGGATCCCAGGTGAAAATTCATCAGGCCCAGGCCCATGGACAAGTAGTCCTCACTTACTGACTATTGGACCAGCAACTCCATCGAGAACTGGCACGGTCATTAAATGAATCTCTGGGGGCTTATTGAGCATGACATCCTGTGACTGTGCCTTAACCCTTCTTTCCAGCTTCTCCACTGACTTCACTTCTTTGAGGCACTGTTGGGAATGAGCCCCAGTTGCCATATGCCTGAAGCACAATCAAGTGAATGCAGATATGCTGCACCCTCAACAAGTTTGAAGCCTGGTCGTAAGTTTCATTCAGCACCATTGTAACTTCAAATGGTTGCTGAATGAGTAGTCAGTAAGCAAGGTCTGCCTGTATGACAGTTCACCAAGTAGTAGAATACCTCCAAATACCAGCTCTTAGTTGAAACTGCATCTTCTTTTCCCCCCATTTGAAATGGATAGTCAGGTCAGTTGTGCTTAAGAATTAAAGTGCTGGTTGACAGTCTGAATGACATCTAAATACCGACAATGACTTTGTAGAAGTTTTCTTTAATTCACCTATCAGGTGATTGGATCCTGGTTTAGTCTTCTTTCTAAATTCCTTTCTGACTTTTCTGGGACTCCTTACTATATCTGATATATAATGTCTGCCAGTGAGAGGTACTTTACATTCATTTCCATCTGTCCATTGGGGTCCTCTAGCAGACCAACACAGAAAACTTTTGAAAAACTTCAAAGTCTTCCAGGAAAATCAGCAAGTCTGGTCAACTTTATTCTTTGCGGATGCCTCTTAATTTAGATTTCAGATTCTTATTTCAGAATTTAATTTCTCAATTCTACATTTGATAGGGAATCATGAAAAGGCATAATTTTTTTAGTCTTTAAAATTTAAATCTATCTTCAAATTTGTGATTTCAAATCCTCTGAGATTGCAATTTCTAACCTGCTTCCTGTCATCCTATTTTCAAATGCTTTCATTGATTTTAAGCCTTTACACTACCTATTCTACTTTCTCCTTTTCTTCGTTTCTGAAAGCAGTAAAAACAATTGGTTAACAGTTTTAATCATTTTTTTCTCCAAATCCTATAATTAATTTTGAAAAGGATATGTTTAATATGCTTAATATCTTCTACATTTGAAGTGATTACAAACACTGTCTTCATCTGTGAGCCCACTTCCGTATTCCTTTCTTTGAGTTTGAGGGCCTTTCTGAAATATTGCTCTTCTATAACCAAAAGAGAAAGAGTAATAAATCATTTCATTAAGATAGCATATTGTAATATATGGCAAAACAGATAATACAGCAAAGTAAAATATTTAGTTGTTAACTACAAAAAGTGAAACGTCCACACTTTTTAATGTTAGTTCCTAACTGGTCTGTTAATTTTCCAACTGCCTTCCCAGGTACCCTCCAGCCCTATTCCCAGTGCCCCTCTCCAGCGACGTCTGAGTGTCAGTGCTAGTGGAGTTGGGGATTATGGTCTGATGAGTTGCGTGCTTCCAGATGAGCTTTTGGTGGAGATTCTTTCAGAGAGGATGCAGGTAATTGCAGCCGAAAGGAGAAATCAAGGGGAGTGTCGGGCATGATAACTCATAGAAATATTTGTAAATTACCAAGTGAACATTTCCAGTTTTTTTAGACATATGGATGCAGCTTTATTTATTTATTATAAATATATTTCCTATTTCATTGCTTTGCTTTACTTAAATGATAGTTGAATGTCTATGGATATTCTCAATCATCCAGGTCATGGTTGTCCCAAAGGTGCTTTTTTAAGAGGCAACTGGACTTTCTGTTTTTTCTTTGAAGACATTTCTCTTCTCATCCAAGAAGCTTCTTCAGCTCTGACTAGATGGTGGGGAATGGAAGGATTTATATTCCTTGCAGACAGCTGGTGATTTGCATTCTTTAATGAGTTGTCAAAGCTACCTGGAGGTTTATCTGTGTCATCAGGGTCACCTGAGTGGTGCAAATGGGTGTGGAGCCTTCTTGGAACTGTTGAAAGGACTGTGTTGTAGATTGGAGATAGATAATGTTGTATCCCTCCCCCTCTGTTGAGAGAGGGCTGGTTGTTCAATTTTGATATAAATAGCCTCTTTAACCTCTCTTTCAATCCAGCGGTCCTCTCTGTCCAAAATGTGGACTTTGCTGACTTCAAAAGAGTGGCCTTTGTGTTTTAAATGCAGATGGACTGCTGAATCTAGTCCTCATGGATTTGTTCTCCTGGGTTGTGCCATGCGTTTATGAAGTGGTTGTTTTTTCCTCCCAATGTACAGATCTGCACATGGTTTACTGCAGGGGTCCTCAAACTTTTTAAACAGGGGGCTGGTTCACGGTCGCTCAGACTGTTAGGGGGGTGGATTATAGTTTGATTTGCCTAATGACTGGCTAGATGATCTGGGTGGGTGTGGCCAATTAAGTCCATTTTGCCAATTTAGCAGTCCATTAAACAATACAGAGCAGTCCCCTTTTCTATTCTTCTTTTTAATACTGCATGAAGTTTTTGCTCTAGGTTTGTTTTTTTTTTATCAGGGGAAAGAGGTTGGCAATGCCTGGAGAAGGAAAGGCATGCTTTCCACATGTCACATGGCTGTATTTAAAGGGCCAGCTAATGTCATTGGTGTTGTGAGATTCATTGGTGAGGTGATAGTGAATGGATGTGCAATGTTCACTGGAGCAGTAACTGCAGTTGGTAAATTGACAGGTGTGGTGAATGTTAATGGAGAAGTCATGGACAAAGGGGTGATTATGGTAATAGGGTGTCCTAAGCTCATTGGGCTGGAGATGTTAACCATGCTCAAAACATTGGCTGGGCTTCTCATATTCATTGCAGCAGCTACAGTGCAAGGAGCTGCTCCTTTGGCACTTGCCTCCCCCCAATTGTTAGCTGCTGCGCCGCTTTTCCAGGGAGGCAGCCACGTCCAGGGAGACAACGTGCCCCTTCATGGATCCCCTGCTTATTCTGTCCTCCAGGCTGACACCCCCTGCCCTGCCTCACCCGCCTCCAGGGCTTGTGCCAGGATGGCCAGGCCCGTCATGCCTATGGCGCCGAAGATGATTTAGCCCTTCCGCCTGGAGCTCCACCCGGGGAGGCAGCAGAAAGCAGCGGCTTGCCACTTTAGTTCCCCCGGCGGACAGAGTGCCCATGAGCTGCAGCCGAGGCCAGTCACTCGGGCGTGCAGCAAAATGAGCAACCAAAGCCTGTCTCCTCCACTGCTGTGCCTGCCACCCCTCCCCTGATTCTTGGAAGAGCCACTTGCTGGCCCTGGGTGCCCGAGGGAAGCACCGGGTGGCCATTTCGAAAGGGATGGGAGCAGTTTATGCTCAAAAACTAAGCAAGCAGGTGGGTTACAGTCTGAGCCTCCTTGGTTGGGGTGCCTCCCTGGGAATTGTTGCTCGGCCTGGCATGAGTGTTTGGAAAAACAGGACAGTGCGGAAAGGGGAAAGGGGAAAGGGAGAGGAGGAGGTGAAGGAGGGGCCTTACCCAAAGGCTATGCTGTAGTTCTTTCGGGTGAGCCATCCTTGCGCAGCTCTCTGGTCCCTGCCCACCCGCTGGCCCACGCCCTATGGCCAAGCGCAGTGGGCGCAGACTGAGTCTTCCTTCCCCGCCTTTGGCCTTACATTTGCGGGCAGCTGTGGTGAGCTTTGCAAACCCTTTGGGGTGGAAGGTAAGGCTGATGGTGCTTGGCCCCCTCTCCCAGCCCGCATCTCCACCCAGACTCTGCAGCGCAGCTGCTGGGGGTGTCAGAGACTATGTGGCTGTGCTGCCGGCCAGTTGGCCCTCATCCATCAGCCTGTGCCCTTCAGCGCAGTGGGTACAGAGCATGTCTCCCTCACCCGCCATCAGCCTTACATTCGTGGGCAGCCACAGGGAGCTTTGCAAGCCCTGCAGACTGGAAGGTAAGGCTGATTGTGCTCAGCCCCCACCTCCAGCTCCCAGCTCCACCCAGACTCACTGCAGCACAAGAACCACGTGGCTGCAGTGCCAACATTGCCCCTATGCCAGCCGGCGCTCACCCACCTACCCACTGCCCGCGTCCTTCAGCCTTACCTTTGCAGTGAGCAGACTCACGCAAGCTGGAAGATAAGGGCGACGGCTGGAAGAGGGGCGATGTGGGTGGTGCAGACAGCCATGCAAGGAGTGGTTTAGAGTGGTGGGGTGGGTTAGGGGGCAGAGTTGAATCACCACTGTGCGTGGGCCGGATACATTGCGTCGGCAGGCCGTATCTGTCCTGCGGGCCATAGTTTTTGGATCCCTGGTTTACTGCATTGTACTGCATATACCACGTTGCTCTGTTGGTGTCTGGATGTTTTATCCTTGGGGTAGATAAGCTTGTGTGTTCTGTCCTCACTACATGTTAGTTTGTGTGCAGCTTGACATGCAGCTATCCTCCAATAAAACAGACCGTGCATGTTGATCTGAATGCTTTATTAAAAGAACAGGATATGGTGAAACTGGGGAAAATAGGGATACATACAATGAGAACCAAATACAAGATAGACAGTATTGAGTTACTGCTGAACATAACAATTTAAACAAGCAATTTAAATCTCACCAGCGATCTCTGTGTGTGGAATGCAGTGGGGGTTGCTACCAGTTCGCCCCAGTTCGGGCGAACCAGTAGCAGCGGCGGGAGGCTCCTTCCACCCGCCGAACATAATCAAATATGATGCATGAGCGAACCGGTAGCAAAGGTAAGTGAATTCCGTGGTGGAATGGGTTTGTCCTTGGATAACAATGTGCCACAGATTAATATAGATTCTTCTTTGCACTTCTGTTTCTCCAAATGCTAAAGAAAAATGGAGTCTGGCTTCCCAGCATGCACTTGGTTTGAGAGTGCAGGCCGATGGGTAAAAAGGGTCAGTTTCAAACAATATACTTGGTATTTTGTCCCTCCAGCCACTAGATGGGGCTAGAGAGCAACAACAGTATATGTTGGGGCATGACATTCTGCCTTAGTATATTCTTGGGTTTGGACAAATGGTTGTCCAACTTCTTCCTGAAAAATTCCAGTGAAGGAGCACCCAGAACTTCAGAAGGCAAGCCATCCTACTGATTAATTGTTCTCACTGTCAGGAAATTTGTTCCTGATCCTAGGTTGGATCTCTCTTTAACAATCTTCCACTTGCACTTCTAGTTCTGCCCTCAGGTGCTTTGGAGAATAAGTCAATCCCACTTCTCTGTGACAGCCCCTCAAGTATTGGAAGATTGCAAATGCCAGAGCTCATGAGACTCTCAAGAAGACACTGAACAACAATAATGTACATGGCAGATTGCAAGGAGAAAACCACTATGATCCAAAAAGAATATTGCTTCTCATCAATGTTTTGTGAAAGACAATGTGGATGAGCTAGAGGGCTATTGAAATAATGTTCTGTGGACAGATGAAACCAAAATAGATCTTTTTTGAGTCATGGAGCAAGACAACAGTTCAAAACATACAAGGTATATGACCAAAGAATGATTAAAGCAGAAGGAACTTACGTTTTGCAATGGCCAAGTCAAAGTCCTGAGCTTTTGTTGTTGTTAGTTGCAAAGTCATGTCCGACCCATCACGACCCCATGGACAACGTTCCTCCAGGCCTTCCTGTCCTCTACCATCCTCTGGAGTCCATTTAACTGCTGCTTCAGTGACTCCATCCAGCCACCTCCTTCTCTGTCATCCCCTTCTTCTTTTGCCCTCAATCTTTCCCAGCATTAGGCACTTCTCCAATGAGTCTTTCCTTCTCATTAGCTGGCCAAAATATTTGAACTTCATCTTCAGGACCCGGCCTTCTAAAGAGCAGTCAGGGTTGATTTCCTCTAGGACTGACCGATTTGATCATCTTGCAGTCCAAGGGACGTGTAGGAGTCTTCTCCAGCACCATAGTTCAAAGGCCTCAATTCTTTGGTGCTCAGCCTTTCTTATAGTTCGTTTCTTCCCCATTTATTTGCGATGAATTGAGAGGGCTGGATGCCATGATCTTAGTTTTCTTAATGTTGAGTTTCAAGCCAACTTTTGCACTCTCCTTCTTTACCCGCATCAAGAGGCTCTTTAGTTCCTCTTCACTTTCTGCCATTAGAGTGGTATCATCTGCATATCTCAGGTTGTTGATATTTCACCCGGCAATCTTAATTCCAACTTTTGATTCATCTAGCCCCACCTTTCTCATGATGTGCTTTGCATATAAGTTAAATAGGCAGGGCAACAGTATACAGCCTTGCTTCCTACTTTAGCATTCCAATCCCCCATGATAATAAGGACATCATTTTTGGTGATAATTCTATAAGGTACTGTAGGTCTTCATAGAACCAGTCAATTTCATCCTCTTCAGCACCAGTAGTTGGAGCATAGACTTGGACTACTGTGATATTGAATGGTTTGCCTTGGATTCGAACTGAGATCATTCTGTCATTTTGGAGATTGTATCCCAGTATTGCTTTTCCTACTCTTTTATTGACTATGAAGGCTACTCAATTTCTTCTGAGGGATTTTTGTCCACAGTAGTATACCTTATATTCATCTGAATTAAATTCACCCATTCCTGTCCATTTTAGTTCACTGATTCCTAAAATGTTGATATTCACTCTTGTCATCTCTTGTTTGACCACGTCCAGCTTGTCTTGATTCATGGATCTTACATTCCAGGTTCCTATGGAGAATAGATCTTTACAGCATCGGACGTTCCTTTCACCACCAGATACATCCACAGCTGAGCGTCCTTTTGGCTTTGGCCCAGTCGCTTCACTCTTTCTGGCGCTACTACTACTAGCCCTCTGCTCTTCCCCAGTAGTATATTGGACACCTTCTGACCTGAGGGGCTCCTCTTCCGGTGTCATATCTTTTTGCCTTTTGGTACTGTCCATGGGGTTTTCATGGCAAAGATACTGGAGTGGGTTGCCAATTTCCTTCTCCAGTGGATCACGTTTTGTCAGAGCTCTCTGCTATGACCTGTCTGTCTTGGGTGGCCCTGCATGGCATAGCTCATAGCTTCATTGAGCTAGGCAAGCTCCTTCGCCATGACAAGGCAGTAATCCATGAAGGAGGTCCTAAACTTAATCCTATAGAAATGAAGAAGGACCTGAAATGGGTAATTTGTGCGAGGAAGTCCACCAAAATCCCTGAGATGAAGCTATTCTGTCAGGAAGGATGTATAACATTCCTCCAAACTGATGTGCAAGACTGATCAACAGTTATTGGAAATGCTTAGCAGAGTGATGGCATGAGGGGGAAAACTTTGTGTCTGGTTGTTCTGGTGTGCATTCCTTATAGCGGCATTCCCGATAGCGTTATCTTGAGGGTAGAAGTTGAAACTGTTTATGTCCAGGATGTGAGGGATCTGGAGATATTTTCACGCCCTCTTTCTGGCTCATGCAATATACAGGTTCTCCCTGGAAGGCAGGCAGGCAGCAATTGTTTTTTCTGCAATCCTAACTATCCGTTGAAGTCTGTGTCTGTCTTGTTTGGTTGCTGTGCCGAATCAGACAGTTATAGAAGAGCCTTGGTGGCGCAGCAGACTAAAGTGCTGTTAAGTAGCACCAGCTGCCTGCAATTACTGCAAGTCCAACTCTCACCAGGCTCAAGGTTGACTCAGCCTTCCATCCTTTCGAGGTAGGTAAAATGAGGAGCCAGATTGTGGGGGCAATAAGCTGACTTTGTATAAATATACAAAAGTATGAAGGCTATTGCTTAACGCATTGTAAGCCGCCCTGAATCTCCGGAGAAGGGCGGCATATAAATCGAACCAACCAACCAACCAACCAACCAACCAACCAACCAATAATGAATGAATGAATGAATGAATGAATGAATGAATAAATAAATAAATAAAAAATAAAGGTACAAATGACAGACTCAATTATTCCTTTGTACAACTATATCAGCAGCTCCTTGGGCTGCTTTCTGAGCTTTCTGAGTTGGTGCAGGAAGAACATTAATAGGCATAACATAACATAAATAGGCAGCAAACACCATCCACCCTGACTCTGATACTGTTATCTAGTGTTAGTATCGCTTTATAATGGATTGGGTAAATCACACTTGGAATACTGCATTTGGTTTGGTTACACAATATCAAAAAGAAGTTGAGACTCTGGAAAGAGTAAAAAGAAGAGCAACAAAGATGATTAGGGTCTGGAGACCAAAACATGTAAAGAACGGTTGCAGTAATTGGGTATGTCTAGTCTAGTGAAAAGAAAGACTAAGAGTGACATTATAGCAGTTTTCCAATATTTGAGGGGTTGCCACAGAGAACCCCTCTGATCATAGTCAATCTATTCTCCAAAGCACGAGAAGGCAGGACAAGAAGCAACAGATGGAAACTAATCAAGGTGAGGCAACCCAGAACTAAGAAGAAATTTCCTCAGACTTAGAACAATTAATCAGTGGAACTGGTTGCCTTCAGAAGTTGTGGGTGCTCCATCATTGGAATGTTTAAAGAAGAGATTGGACAGCCATTTGTCCAGTATGGCATAGGGTCTCCTGGACAGAGGGTTGTCATGGACAGAGGGTTGGACTAGAAAACCTCCAAGGTCCATTCCAACCCTATTATTATATGCTCTGTGTTCTAACCCTGTTCTACACCCTCTTATATGAATATGTACTAAAGCAGTAGTTAAACAGGCTTGTTATTGGATATCTGCAAGAAATGATGGCATAACCAGAAATATGTTGGATTCATTCAGAAGAGCAGTTGCCATCTGGTTCCTACTGCAAAGTGAGATATTTCCCTTTACTGGAAAAGATACCAAGACTTAACAAATGAGATACCACTAGAAGGTTCCTGGGAGAAAATTGTGTAGGTTTTTAAGAAAAGATTGGACAGTCATTTGTCTGAAATGATATTGGGTCTGCTGCTTGAGCAGGGATTGGACTAGAAGACTTCCGAGGTCCCTTCCAACTCTGTTATTTTTAGAAAGGCTTCAGCAAGCTGTGAGGCCCACAGAAGATGACATCATTAAGAGCCTGAGACTGTGTGTCACAAGACCTATAGCGGATTCCAGTCAACTGTTCTCTGCTGCAGAAGTAGTTTTTTGAATGCCAAAATCATATCAAGGGTTGAGTCCTACAAGACAGGAGTCTTCAACCTTGGCAACTGTATGACTTGTGGACTTCAACTGCCAGAATTTTTCAGCCAGCATCACTGTCAAGGACCCCTGCTGCAAGGTCCTAACATTGATGAAGTTTCTAGATCATTTGAAAGCAATGCATGTCTGGTCAAATCATTGGCTTAAATTTTTTAATATTTTCTTCTCTATGGACTTGAGAAAATGGGCATTCTTATTGGAAGCCAACAAATCTCGGCTTTCTTCCATTTCTGGAGGACTGTAATAAGTTGACTTTGGCTGCCATTGAAATCCATGCCTTTCCAATACTTTTTCACTTCGGGGCATACCCACCAAGCATGAAAGAAAATACCTTGGTGTTGGTTGCATTTCCAGCACTTGGGGCTTAGATTTGGGTACATTTTGGCCAGAGATTGGCTACAAGATTTAATAAATTGCCATATTGAGTTAAATCCAGAAACATTTCTCCTGGAAATATTAAAAACAAAATTTAATAAAAAAAATAAGATATCTGATCCTACATATACTAACAGCAGCAAGAATTGCGTTCTGCAATATTGGAAAGAACATAACTTACTACCAGAGGGACTGATTATCCAAAAAAATATTTGAATGTGCTGAAATGAATAAACTAACTTTAGAATTAAAAGAAAAAGAAGATTCAGAATATTATGCGGTTTGGGGAAAATGGTATAGGTGGATAGACAACAGAAACAAAAATAGGTAATATTCATAAGGAAATTGAGGATGTATATATATATATATATGTATATAATGTAGATTTCATGTGAACTGTTAATCCAAAATATATAAAAATAACACTGTCTGTTTGAATATGTATTAGAATTTTGGAAAAGAAAAACTACAATAAAAATTATTTTAAAAAGAAAAAAAAGAAATCCATGCCTTTCACTTGCATTAGTGGGATGTGTGCACAGCACTACCACATTGCTGAATGGCCTAAAACTGGTGTGCTTCCATTTTTGGACAGCTGAGTGATTGCTATCGTGGCATGGTGTTCGATGGGTTGGAAACTATGTTTGCCCGCAGTATGGTATCAGCACTCTTCTGCCTGCTCAAAGCGATCAACAACCGGCGGTATATCTATTTCATGAACCTCTTCCAGGATTTTGCTGCTATGAAAGCTAGAGAGATCAGCAAGCAAGAGCAGGAAGGTAAGAACAATGTGGTTTTTGTGGGCTTTTTTTGTGTCTTATTCCCAGTCACATTTGATAGAATCAGGCAATGGAATTTGAGTTCCTTCTTCCCTCGCCTTGCCTTTCTCAACTGCTTCTTCTTTTTGCAAGAGCTGTAGTGGGATGGGAATTCAGGCATTGCCATCATTAATGGCAGTGGGCAGATTGAGGCATCTCTTTTCCTTCTTGATCTCTGTGGAAGAGCGGGAACAGCAAGAAGCAGTTGCAAGAGAGAAGGCTCGTCTTCAGGAAATGGATGAAGAGGAGTATGATGCCCTTACTGAAGAACAAAAGATCCAGTTTGACAATGAGCTGCTGCAGGCCTTACGGGAGAGAAAAAGAAGGTGAGGAAACTCTTCCCTTGCAGGTCTGCCAATTTGCTTGGGTTCCACAGAGGAAGATGAATTGTGGTTTTGTAGTCTGCGCAGGATGTGGCTCTTACCAAAACTGTGGACCTTAAGCTAGGGAAAAAACTAATGAAATTTATGGCTGAATGTTTTATAGACATTTGTGTAGATTTATTAAAAATTCTTCTCCTTGTTAAATGCCTGGAAGGGAGCTGGAGAAGCTAGCTCGAGAGCTGGAGGAAAAGAAGCATCAACAAGAACTGGAGCGCCTGCGGGAGGAAGAGGAGGTGAAGAAGAAGTCCAAGCGATACAAGAAGGATGGGGGGAAAGAGAAAGAAGAGGCAGTGGGGAAAAAAGGCCAGCAAGGAGGCAAGCAGGTAAGTCTCAAGGGGAATCCTGCGCAACTGCTGCATTGCTGTCAACCCCACCAGATGGACCAGTTCAGGGGGCCAGAATCTTGGAAGTCTGATGGGGCTTGACTTCTTGGTAACAGTGTAGTAAATTAGGGAGGTGCCTGAGCGACTTCCGAGCATTATCTGGACATTCTTAACTTAAAACAATTTTAGCCCCTTTTGCCTAAGCAACAGAACCTGTATATTTCCATCGGGGCCACCTTCTTATACTCTATACGGGCAACTCCCACACCATTTTACTTTGGATCAGTAAATTGATGCCTCTGATGGAGCAATCCAGATGGTTTTGCTCCCTGAATTGTCATTACTGATGACCAGGTAGGGGATGCCAGTTCCTTTAGTCATGAAATCCGGGTGCTGGAAAGCCTGGAGAGCCTCACAGAGGCTCTTTTCCTTGATGCAAGCACAATTAGAACAGCTGAAGGCTTCCTTCCTTTTCCTCTCGCAGAATCCCACCATATCAGCTTACAAATCGGATGGGAGGCTGAATGAAGGGCTAGAGCGAAAAGGTTCTGCAAAGGATCGTCCAGATGTGAGTGTCAATGACAAAGATGAGAAGAAAAAGAAGAGCAGAATGGCCCTGCAGAATGGGCAGCCAGGTGCAGCACCCCCTGCAGCCCAGGAAGAGGAGGAAGCAGAAAAGGACATGAGTGAGAGTGAGAAGAGCTTGGCACAGCGGTTCAAGCTGTATGAGGCCAGCCAGAAAGAGATCGCTCAGATCCTGGTGTTCTGGGACAGGGTCCAGCTGGTCCAGCTGCAGCCACCAGGCTCAGAGGATAAGCAGGAGGAAGCGGAGGATCAGCGCCAGGCTCCGTCTGGTCGCAAAGGCAGGAAGGACCGGGAAAGAGAGCGCCAGGAGAGGCTGGAGAAGGAGCGGGCAGAGAAGGAGCGCTTGGAGAAGGAGAAAGCAGAGCGGGAACGCCTGGAAAAGCTGAAGGCCATGGAGGACAGCAGAGCTGCTGGACTGGAGGGAGAAGGAGGAGAAGGCACAGAGAGGGACATTGGCATCCCCTCTCTGGAAATCCACGTGCTCAGTTCCGAGGAGTCCAGTGGCAAGCGGATCCTGGAAAGTGGCAAACTGCCCAGGGTAATCCAGGTGAGCCCTGGGGTGATGTGCCCAGTGGGTGGGCTGGGCTAGGCTTTGCAGGGAGAGAGTTGCAGGCTGGTGGCAAGGCTGTGATGGGATTCAGGGATTCATTAGCTTGGGGGGAAATCTTAGTCAAGGGACATCCAGTCAGATTGATAAAATGCTGGTCACTCCATAGGCTCAACAGATTAAGACGTCCTTTAGTGCTTTGCCTTATTACAAGCTATATAATACCACTGCTCATGGTACAGATTCAAGATCCAAGTGGGAACCAGCCTCCAGACCTTTCCCCCTGGTTTTCTCAAAGATAGTTTCTTGAAGCTAATATGCCATCTAAGAGCAGTTCCATAATCTGTACACTTATGGTTCCTGTATCATTGGCTTGTTTGAATACTGAAGGTTGGCCAATCAGTGCAGGGCTTCTGTTCAACTGCCAGGAAAGCCAAACCTGAATCATAGGATCATTTGACATGCCTCCAATGGCTGCCCCTAAATAGGTTGATAAGGCTTTGGGATAAGGCTAAAAACAAAGGTTCCAGGCCTATGTTTGGAATTTCGTTACGCATGGCATCAAAGTGACAACTCCACTTTATTCCTTGCTCTAGATCTTGAATGGTTTGGGGCTGGGCCCTTCAGGGCCACCCATTCCTCCCACCGCCTTTTTCTCAGTGATCCCATACCCTGAGAAGCGACCAGCACAAGTTGCCTCAGAAGCTCTCAAGCACTTCACCTTCATCATTCCTGAAGAACTGAATCCAGAAGAGGACAAAAAGGAGGGTGAGAGTGGTGTGGAGACTCCAGCGAGTCTCCCTGTGGCAAAGGTATGGAGTTGCTGCTTTGGGATACCTGGACTGATAGATGCTGATGTTGCTTTTTAGGGTGTAAGCCCAAATCCTGCCAGTAAAGGTGCTGGTAAATGTCTCCTCTGTGACCAGACAGAGGAGTATCTCTCCATTCCCTTACCTTTAGTATATGGTCTGGGACAGTGCCCAATTGGGGTGAGTTCAGAGGATGGGGACCAAGATGGGGAAGGGTCTGGCCACTTCTTCTAAGGACTGCTCAAAGGATTTGGGTAATTTAAAATTTATTTTTTTCTCTTTAAAAAAAAGAAGAAAACTTAGGGAAAATACAATGCAATCATAACAAATATAGAGTTGAAGGGACCTTGGAAGTTTTCTATTCCAACCCCCTGCTCATGCAAGAGACCCTCTGCCAATTCAGATAAGAATACGAACAAATGTTAGAGAAAGAGCTGAGGCTATTTTTTACGGTAAACAAAAAAGAAGATACATCGCTACAAAATCTGTGGGATACCACAAAAGCTTATATGCGTGGACTAACAATAGCATATACGGTAAGAAAAAATAAGAAAAGAAAATATCAACAAGAGACGCTACAGGAAGAACTTTAAAAAGCGGAACTCAAACTACCGAAAGAGCCCCAAAATAATAAGACAAAAGAAAAAAGAGATTATATAAATCACAAACTTAACTTGATCACACAAGAAGAAATGGCACAGAAAATTAAGATGGCAAAACAACATTTTTTTGAGCATGCGAGTAAACCAGGATGGTGGTTAGCATACAAATTTAAAAAAGAAAAACAGAAAAGAATAATATACCAACTACAGGATGAAAAAGGAGTGATTCAACACAGAAGGGAAGAAAAAAAGAATATAATACAAGAATTTTTTATAAAACTATATTCCCAAGATAATATTGCAGAGGACAAGGTCAAACAATATCTAGGCACACTGAGCATAAACCAAATTACAGAAGAGCAAAAAGAGATGCTAAATGGAGCAATAACTAAGAGCTGCAAAAAAAATAACAAATCACCGGGCCCAGACGGAATTCCTGTCAAGTTGTACAAAAATACACAAGAAACATTAGCATGGTTAATATTAGAAATATTTAATAAAGCACTTGAAGAGGCCAAATTACCAATAACATGAACAGAAGCACTTATAACCCTCATTCCAAAGGAAGATACAGATCATCAACAAATCAAAAATTACAGATCTATCTCATTATTAAACACGGATTACAAAATATTTGCCTTGAAAATATCATAAAGAGTCAAAAGAGTCTTAAATGAACGCATCCATTCAGATCAAAATGAAGATGATCAAGACGACAGAGAACATGAGAAGGATTATAAATACTTTAGAGTACTATGAGGCACACCCAGAAAAACAAGCTGCACTGGTTTTCCTTGATGCCCAGAAAGCATTTGATAATTTAAATTGGAAATTCATTATTACACAATTAGAAAATATGAAATTTGGGACAAAATTCATAAAGATGCTTGAAAAAATTTATTCAATTCAAACAGCAAAAGTGATAATGAATGGTGACACAACAGAAAAATTTGATATAACAAAAGGGGTAAGACAAGGATGCCTGCTTTCTCCATTTCTATTTATCCTAACTTTAGAGACTTAAATTGGGACCTAAATTAATTCAAAAAGTTGAATTTGATGAGGTAGCAGGGCTTAACATTAATATTAAAATTAATAAAAGTAAAACAAAAATAATAACAAAAAATCTTACAAAAAACAAGACAGGGAATTGGAAGCAAAAACAGATATGCAAATAGCTAAGAAAGTAAAATATTTAGGGATTTGGCTAACAGCTAAATGCTCCTCAGTCAAGGAAAATAATTATGATAAACTACTACAACAAATAAAAAAGACTTAGAAAATTGGAAAAATCTTCAATTGTCATTCAGTGGAAGGGTGGCATCTATTAAAATGAATATATTACCAAGAATACTATTTCTATTCCACAAAATACACTTGGCAAGGGAAAAAACCAAGGATTAAATTCAAATTATTGCAGGATAGCAAAGAGAAAGGAGGCTTTGCACTCCCAGATTGGGAATTGTATTATCAGGCAACAGCGTTAACATGGGTCAAGAATTGGATTGAACTAAAAAATAAGAGGATTTTAACACTAGAAGGGCATGACCTACAACTAGGGTGGCATGTATTTATATGGGATGGGAAGAATAAATCCCACAGTAGACATCTAATTAGGAATGCCTTATTACAGGTCTGGCAAAAAAAAAAAAAAAAAAAAAAAACCCACTATACCAAAATACCAAGTTGGTTATCCACAATGGAAGCACTGAAATGCCCAAATCTAACAGACATAGACAATTTAATAAGGTACAAGGATCCGATAAACAAACAAGGGAATTTGAAAACCAGACAAGAATTTAAAAAGATCAGGGTATAGATACAGATTGGAGACATATATGCAAATCCAAACCAGATATAGTAAAGATATAAAACTATACGAATTCCAAAAAGAACAGCAGGAATTATACAGGATTTTACAAGGAATGGAAGAAAAGTTGATTAGGAAAATATACAAATATTTACTGAGATATAAAATGGAAGAAGAAGTGGTTAAAGAAACAATAAGATGGGCAAAAAATGTTGGATATAGCATAGATTTGGAGAAATGAGAAAAACTTTGGGAAATAAATTTGAAATTGACTATGTCAGCAGTTTACAAGATATTTTATAGATGGCACCTTCCACCAGCGAGACTCGCTAAGATGTTCCCAAACTCATCACCGATCTGTTGGAAATGCAAGAAATCATGTGGGACATATTATCATCTATGGTGGACTTGTGTGACAGCAAAAAAATACTGGACCAAAATTAAAAAGTGGCTTGAAGAAATAACTGAACAATATATAGACTGGAAACCGAACTATTTTTACTGGGTAAAGAAATTATAATAAAGAAATATAATATCTAATTCTACATATTATAACTGCAGCTAGGGTAACCTATGCACAAAATTGGAAAAATAATGTCATACCAAAAGACGAAGAGGTGATAAGGAAAATTTTGGACTATGAGGAGAAAGAATATAATGAAAGAAATAAAAGAAAAAGATGAAACAGAATATTACTTAATATGGGGGAAATGGTACAAATCGTTAGAGAACAGGAATAACAAGAAAATATATAATAGAGATCATCTAGAAACCAGGAAGCATTAATAAAATGATATTAAATATATAATATATGTAAAGTAACATATGGATATAATAATATGTATAATAAGTAAGGAGTAGTATATATAATATATAAGAAATAAGGGAACCACAAAAACAAGTATGTAAATATGCAGATAAGTGGATGTCCAGTTTTTCCTTAAAAGCTTCCAGTGGTGGAGTATCCACAACTTCTGACTCCAAGTGGTTCCACTGGCTAATTGTTCTCTCTGTCAGGAAATTTCTCCTTAGTTCTGGGTTGCTTCTCTCCTTGATTAGTTTCCATCCATCCATTGAAAAATGTTGCCCTCAAAAATATGGAGTCACCTGCCAACAGAATCAGGACAGGACATGCCAGAAGGGCATGATTGTTTAAGTGAATGGTCTTAACCCTATCCCTAACTATAACCCTCTTGCCAAAAGAGGGCAACCAGCTTCCCTCTGTGTGCAAAACCAGTGTGCTGGGCCAGAGAAAGGAAACTCAGATTGTAAAGTTGATGTGGTGTAATCTGGTGCTGAGTTGCAGGAGGCAGAGGAGACGAATCAGCATTGAGTCATTGGTACAAAGGAAGAGGCCCAGAAAAGATCCTCCCTAAATCTTCACAGTATTTATCTGATAGTTATTGAGAGTGTGGTTTAGTCTAAAAGATTCCTGTCTGTAGACAAAAAAGCAATAAAGCAACTATTTTGAGTGATTCATTGTGTGCCATTCTTGGTTTCCCCGTGCCTGACACTTTATTAGCAAGTTGTACCTGATTTTGCTGTTCTAAAAGTGCATTCTTGTGTTCTTCCTTAATCTTCTTAATAAAACTTACAGATGAAAGAAGTTCTCTTGGCATTAACCATGTCCAGATGCTGCCCAAAAATACCTCATCCTTGATACAGTGATAGGAAATAGAGTTGCTTAATATGTATATTGCCTTGCACCACATCTTGGAATTTAAATACGCTACTCCATTCACAAAGTGATTTTCTGAGAGATTATGTCCAAATGTGTCCATTCGCTGAGAAAAGTTGATTCCTGCTAGCACAAAGATCAAGTGGTACTCCTTTATCCACTAGCCAATGATATGAAGATATGTAACCTAAAACTTTCTGTCAGCATTGCTAACATTATGGTGGTTGGACTTCCTGATTTCTAGTTTCACACTTTCCTTCTTCAAGATGTTTCATTGTCCAAACTAGGTAACATCATCAATGTTAGTAAGGAGTGGGGTTTGCTCTGAGTTGATGTTCTAATGGCTCGCCCTGTCAGTGTTGTGGAGATGGTCTTAGAGGTTCTTTGGGCTGTTTACGGTTGGCTTGTTTGGCAGTTCTTCAGTTGGGGTATTGTTTACTTGATTGTTGGTCTGATGCTAATCTTTAATGAATGTTAAGGTTGATATTCACATTTATTGGTTTTCTGCCTTGCTATGTTTCTACTGGCTTTCAGGAGGATCTGGCCACCCCGACTAGAGGCAGGTCCAGGAAAGAGAAACCTGAGGTCTCCCGCGAAGCCCCGAAGGATAAGAAAGGTGCCTCTCGCAGCAGAAAAGGCATCCATCCCAGCCCCGGCACAATGACGACGCTATCTGAGCTTGACCAGGGCAGCCCCACCGCAGAGGCCTCCAGTGAGAAGCTGCTCAGGTTAGGATCCTGAGGCAGAAGCCCCGGGGGGGCGGGGAGGGGCAGGGAGGAGGAGGAGAACACTGATAGATCGGCTGTCTGTGTCACAGATTGCTGTCTGTGAAAGGGAGATGAGGAAATGCGGTGGCCACAGATGGGAACTGAAGTGTCCCTTTCCAGTACAGAAATAATCATTTCTTTTGAAATGCCCATTTTTCTGTCTTTTTGCTATTTTTAAATTTTATTGACTGTAAATCTTATCCTATGGGCTTCTTATGGGTTTATGCTTGTTCCTTGAGCCTTCTGAGGATTTATCTGTTTTTAAATGTGTCTAAATCCACAAGGAGAGAAGTAAGCAATGGAGTACCACAAGGCTCTGTCTTAGACCCAATACTCTTAAATATATTCATAAATGACTTAGATGAGGGAATAAAAGGGGAACTCATCAAATTTGGATGACACTAAATTGGCAGGAGTAGCCAACACCCTAAAAGACAAGCTCAGGATCCAAAAAGATCTTGACAGACTTGAACAATGGGCCCTATGCAAAAATATGAATTTTAATGAGGAGAAAAGCAAAGTTTTACATTTAGACAGGAAAAACCAAAGGTACAAGTACAGATTAGGTGAAACCTGGTTCAAAAACAGTAACTGTGAGAGGGACCTTAGCCAAAAAAGCTAATACAATCCTTGGTTGTATAAACAGAGGCATAGAATCAAGATCACATGAAGTATTAGTACCGCTTTATAAAACCCTAGTAAGACCACACCTGGAATACTGCAACCAATTTTAGTCACTATACTACAAAAAAAGATGTTGAGACTTTGGAAAAGGTTCAAAGAGCAGCAAAGGCCTGAGATTAAAACTTATGAAAAACGGCTGCCGGACTTGGGTTTGGCTAGTCTATAGAAAAGAAGAATTAGGGGCAACTTGATAGCGGTATTCAAGTATTTGAGGAGCTTCCACAAAGAAGAGGGGGTCAAATTATTCTACAAAGCACCAGAGAGCAGGACCGGAAACAATGGATGGCAACTAATCAAAGGAGAAACTTCCTAACAGTGAGGGCAATTAACCAGTGGAACAGCTTACATCCAGAAATTGTGGGTGCTCCATCACTGGAGGTTTTAAAGAAGAAACTAGACCAGTGGTCTTCAAACTTGGCAGCTTTAAGACTTGTGGACTTCAGCTCCCAGAATTCTCCAGCCAATTTGCTTTAAGACTTTTGCTTTAAGCAAACTGGCTGGAGAATTCTGGGAGCTGAAGTCCACAAGTCTTAAAGCTGCCAAGTTTGAAGACCTCTGAATTAGACAGTCACTTATCTGAAATGGCATAGGTTCTCCTGCTTGAGCTGGACTAGAAGACCTCCAAGGTCCCTTCCAGATTCTGCTCTGCTCTGCTCTGCTCTGCTCTGCTCTGCTCTGCTCTGCTCTGCTCTGCTCTATTTATTTATTATGCCTTCATCTGGGGAGTTTCTTATCATGTTGACTGTGGCTTTCTATAACCTCCTTTTCTTTCTCTTTCCTTGTTTACAGGACAGTTTAAGGAAAAGGAAGGGGAAGGAAGGTCTTCTTCCCCAATGTCTAAGGAGCATCTTTTTCAGAAAACAGGATAACTTTCTTCTGTGATGGAGCAGAGAGTTCTGCGCCCATGAAGTTTGCATTGAAAAGTTTGGTCTTAGGGACACTGGCTTAAAGCAGATCTGTTGTGCTTTGTATTCCACAGGTTGAACTGCTTTCGCTGGATTGTCCCTGCAAATGGGGAAGCTTCGATGCGCATCCATTTCTCTTCCACCAAAACAGGACTCTTTGATCAGGTCCTAAATTTTGAAATCCTTGGAACTCGGAGACAGTATCAGGTGTGCTGCAGGGGCACCTGCACGTACCCCACCATCTGCCAGGATCCCACGTAAGCAGGAGGAAACAGCTCCACCCAGTCACAGGCATCTTCCATCCTACAACATAGAGCAGTGAAGCTGGGCATATTGTGGCCCTTATTGTGTCTTCCAGTGTGAATGCAAGAGGCCCCCCATCTCAGCCTTTGGTCAAGGAGGCACTTGTCTGTAACATCATTTCATGAATAAAAGAGAAACATTGTGGGTTTCTCTGCCTTTTTGAAGTTAGTGGTCAGAAGCTGAATTGGAAAAAAAAATAACATTACTTTGACCACATCTCCTCTTAGCATCTTAATTGTTTTGGGTTACATGTTATTTTTATCTGTTTCAACATAGTGAGGCTGAGCCAGTTGCTAAAAAGTTATCTTCCTATCTTCCTTTCCAATCTAAAATGGGTGGGAATTACATTATCTTAAGAATTAAGATTATACTTTTCAACAATTCATTCTCTTTGTACTGTCAACATTGGCTGATAATGCAGGATAAGAGTTCTTAAGAGCAACAGAGACTTAAGAGAATTGCTGTGTAGAGGATCTGATCTGCATTGGGTATCCCAGTTCAACGGATCAGTTTCCTCGTTCTCCTTGTTCCCAAGGAAAACAGTGGGGTTCTTTGGTTGTTTGCTTGCATCAGCTCCTGCCTACTCAGGGATCCCTGGGTGGTGTCTTGTATACTTGGGCCTCTTATTTTGTTCAGCTGCTGATATATCCTTGCTTCTCTGATTCAGGATAGTGTTCCCCCACCGTAAGAAGACTATCAAGCCTGATGAAATTGTGTACAAGAAATACATCCTGAGCTTGGGTGTATTCCACTTTGGTCCCTTGCTTTGTGGCAAGTCAAGAGAAAAGTAAGTGTTTGTGGGATATAAGAGGGTGATAACGAAATACTAGAAAGCTCACGGGGATTTTCAAAAGGAGATTCTTTTTTTTCACCAAAGCCATCAAAAGCAACATTGGGCTGAAGGGGTTTTCTGGCCTCATCAGGTTTCTAAGTGGGAAAGACCCTAAAGAATATAACAGTATGTAAGGACCTGCCTCTCCTCCTTTCCCAAGAAAGTATAGACTCTTGAAACGTGGTATTTCAAAAGGAACCTTTTATTGAGAAGAAGTGGTAGCAGAACAGGCAAAGCAGACTCTAAATTCCCTCCCAAACTACACAGTTAGAAATAGGGCTTTAGAATCCCTCCCTCCCATCCGAATGTGGATCTAGCTAATCCACAGGTGTGAAGATGTTTATTGTAAGGGCCGTCTTGAGAAACAGATAAGGAGATGTTTCCAGGATCTTCTTCCGCTTTCAGCAAACTGAAACAATCCACATGGCCTTATTACATTCTAAAGAAGGTGAGAATACTGCAGGGTACTTAGACGCCAGGAAAAAGGTTATAAAAATACTGCTTATCCCCATGCCCCCCCTCCCTCCATTTGAATGGCAGTATTACATTAGGGATCTGACATACTCCTTATCTGTTTCTCAAGACCGCCCTTCTTAGAAAATAGATAGATCCACCTGTAAGAGATAAAGAAAATCATTATAGCAAGGTTTGTGAGGGTATTGGGTGTGGAATTTCTTTAAGAGTGTGGGGGCGATGACGTGTTTTTTGTCCAGCCAATCATTTTGGGAAGGGGGTAGGTGTTTCCATGCTACTAGGTATTGGGTTTTCCCTCGGTGGATTCTAGAATCGAGGATGTCTTTGATTTCAAAATGTTGCTCACCCTCAACCATTATGGGTGGGGGTGGTGCCTGGATTTGAGGTCTAAGTGAGGATGTGACTTCTCTTTTCAAGAAGCTGATGTGAAAGACTGGGTGTACTTGTCTGAGTGTTTTGGGAAGTGCTAATTCTACTGTCACTGGGTTGATGATCCTAGTGATTGGAAATGGTGCCACAAATTTTGGCCCTAATTTCTTTGAGGGTTGTAATGTTTGCAAGAATTTTGTGGATAAGCTTCCGGTGGTGCTGTCAGGGCTTGGTAGTACAGTGGTCTAAGGCACCCTGTTATTAAGCTGGTTATTAAGACCAGCTGCCTGCAATTACTGCAGGTTCGAATCTCGCCAAGGCTCAAGGTTGACTCAGCCTTCCATCCTTTCTAAGGTGAGGACCCAGTTGTGGGGGCAATAAGCTGACTTTGTATAAATATACAAAAGGATGTATAAATATACAAAAGGATGAAGGCTATTGCTGAGCACATTGTAAGCCGCCCTGAGTCTCCGGAGAAGGGCGGCATATAAATCAAATTAAAAAAAAAAGAAAAAAGGATGAGCTCTGTTCTTTTCTTCCGATTTTTCTGCATTTGGGGACCCTTCGAAGCAGGGGTGAAATCTAAATTTTTTTGCTACTGGTTCTGTGGGCGTGGCTTGTGGTCATGTGACTGGGTGGGCATGGCCAGTTTGACGTCATTCACGTCACTCTGCTGTGCATGGGGCACTTGGAGAGAGAACAAGCAAGACAGCTTTCCAACCTCTGTTTGTGTGTGGTGTGTGTGTGTGTGTGTGTGTGTGTGTGTGTGTGTGTGTGTGTGAGGGAGGGAGGGATCTAAAGCCGAGGCATCCAAACTTCTGGTAGCGGCGGGGGCAGCTTCTGAACAGCCAGCTCCACCCGATCTACTCCCTGAGTCTCGCCCCCATCCCCACCGCACTCAAGCAGCGGCTTCCCTGCTCAGCCCCAACAAGCTATGCATCCATGGTGCCCGCACCAGCATCCCGAGAGAAGCAGAGAAGATCATCGCTTGCAAGCAGACAAGCAGAGGCAGCAAGCATACACTGTGCTGTGGGAAAAATGAGAGGTCCTGTTGTCCTGCAGAGCCTGCCGCTGCTTGAGTGGGGTGGGGGGCGAGGAGAACGGTGAGATTGAGGGAGTAAGTCAGGTGGAGCTGGCTGACTCAGGGCTGCTCAGAGGCCACCCACGCTGCTGCCAGAAGTTTGGGTGCCTCGGCTTCAGATCGTTCCCTCCCTCCCTTCCTCCCTCCCTCACAAACACACACACACACACACACAAAAACAGAGGTTGGAGAGCTCTCCTGCTCGCTCACTCTCCAAGCGCCCTATGCACAGCCCATTTGAGGAAAGGGCACGCATGGCTGGGCATGTTTGGCTGCAAAAGGCGGTGCAGCACAATGGGGTTCTTTTGTTCATTGAGGTGGCACTTTGGGTGGGCAGGCGGACGTCTGCAGCTGACAACTATAATGAAGACGTCCACCTGCCCTCCCGAAGCACCACCGCAGCGAACAAAACAACCCCATTGCTATGGATGCATAGCTTGTTGGGGTTGAGCAGGGAAGCCGTTGCTTGAGTGGGTGAGGGAGGCAGTAAGCTGCTAGCTCCTTCCCCACAGCCCTGCCATGCTTGCCTGCCTTCCACATGGGCTTCTGCTTGCCTGCCTTCGCAAGCTGGCCACCGGGATGCCAGGAAGGCAGCATGGAAGGCAGGCAAGCATGTCAGGACTGTGGGTCGTGGACCAGTTCAGGGGCGTGGCCAGCCAGCCATTACAGCCATCCCTCATCCGCGAGTTGATTGAGGAGGAGAACACAGACCTGGCTTGCATTACAGAAACCTGGTTGGGCTCGGAGGGAGGGGTCCCTCTGATTGAACTTTGCCCACCAGGTTTTCGGGTGCTATACCAGCCGAGGGCCCAGGGTAGGGGTGGGGGGTGGCGGTTGTTATCAGGGAGTCCCTTGGTCCACGGGAGGTCACTTTTCCTCAGATAGACGGGTGTGAGTCCCTCCTTATGAGATGGGGTCCGCAAAGGCAGTTGGGCCTGTTGATTACGTACCTATCTCCCAGCTGCGTATCAACGGCCCTGCCCAGGCTGCTCGACACTCTCTCGGGGTTGACGGTTGAGTTCCCTAAACTTATTGATTTGGGGGACTTTAATCAGCCGTCAGTAATGCCAGGCAGTAATAATGGCATCCTTAGATAAGGGGATCTTCCCTGCCGCCCTGAAAGAGGCAGGGGTGAGACCCCTCCTCAAGAAACCTGCCTTGGATCCAACCATATTGGATAACTTTTGTCTGGTCTCCAACCTTTGCTTTATAGCGAAGGTTATTGAGAGGGTGGTGGCACGGCAGCTCCCATTGGCCCTGGAGGATACTGATTACCTGGATCCATACCAATCGGGTTTCAGGCCGGGGTACAGCACGGAGATGGCATTGGTCGCACTGGTGGATGATCTTTGGAGGGCTCAGGACAGGGGATATTCCTCTGTTCTGGTCCTCTTGGATCTTTCGGCGGCGTTTGATACCATCGACCATGGTATCTTACTGCGACGGCTCGAGGGGTTGGGAGTGGGAGGCCCCATTCTACGGTGGTTCTCCTATCTCTCAGGCCGTACGCAAGCGGTGTTGGCAGGGGGGCAGAGGTCGGCTACGAGGCCCCTCGTTTGTGGGGTGCCCCAGGGGTCGGTCCTCTCGCCTCTCCTGTTCAACATCTATATGAAGCCGCTTGGGAAGATCATCCGTGGTTTTGGGGTGCGGTATCATCAGTACGCTTTTTATATCCACCCCAAACCAGCCCAGTGATGCCCTTGACGTGATGTCCCGTTGCGTGGAAGTGGTACGGACCTGGATGGGGAGGAACAGGCTTCGACTCAACCCTGCCAAGACCGAGTGGCTGTGGGTACCAGCATCTTGTTCCAATCGAGATGTTCCATCGCTGACCATCGGGGGTGAGGTGTTATCCCCTGTGGATAGGGTCTGCAACTTGGGTGTCCTCCTGGATTCACGGTTGTCTTTGGAAGACCATGTGATGACCATGACCAGGGGGGCATTTGCCCAGGTTCGCCTTGTGCGACAGTTGCGCCCTTACTTGGACCAAGATGCCCCACACACCGTTACTCATGTGCTGGTGCAGTCTTGACTACTGCAATGCTCTCTACCTAGGGCTGCCCTTGAAGACCACTTGAAGGCTTCAGCTGGTGCAGAATGCGGCCGCGCAGGTTGTGATGGGAGCATCCCGACACTCCCATGTTACACCCCTCCTGCGTGGCTTGCATTGGTTACTAGTTGCCCTTCGGGTGAGGTTCAAGATGCTAGTTATCCCTTCTAGGCCCGGGATATCTGTCGGACCCCCTGCAGCCAGCGACAATCTCCAATTGCCCGGTGCGTTCCCACAGACAGGGCCTCCTCAGGGTGCCGTTGGGCAGACAGTGTCGGCTGGCGACCCCCAGGGGGAGAGCTTTCTCTGTGGGCGCACCCACCCTCTGGAACCAACTTCCGTTGGAGCTCTGGATGGCCCCTGACCTTCACTCGTTCTGCCGCGAGTTGATGACCTGGTTGTTCCGTAGCCTGGACTGACGGGGGGGTTATAATGAATTTTAAACTGTTTTAAATTGGGTTTTAATTTTATATTGTTTTAATAAGGAATTATGCATTTTATTATTGTGAGCCGCCCTGAGTCCTCGGAGATAGGGCGGCATATAAATTGCATAAAATAAATAAATAGATAAATTACTCCCAGTTCGGTGAACTAGCCTCAATCTCTGCTACCCTAAATACGCAAATATTACAGGAAAAGGAATATTTAGAGAAAATAGAAAAAGAGCTGATTTTATTCTTCGACATAAATAAAAAACATCATACATCATTGTAGAACTTATGGGATACACTAAAGGCATTTAGGAGAGGAATAACATTAGCATATACATCGATGAGGAACAAGGGAAAAAAGCAACAGCAGGATATACTATTGAAGAAATTAGAGTATCTAGAAAATAAATTTCAATTAAATCTAGGTTTCCAGATTAAAGAAAAATTAATATCAGTTAAACATTAATTAAATTTAATAGAACAAATAGACCATGTTAAAAAGATTAAATATATGAAACAATATCAATTTGAAAATGCAAATAAACCGGGG